GTGTTAAAACTGAACGTTAGCTATACAGTGTGTCCTGATTCTGACACATAAATTGCAGGGAAGAGCTGTGCAAAGGATAAGGAGAAATTCCAGGGGATGAAAGAACGATGTTAAAAAATAAGACACGGTCTCTCATAGAATAAAATTTAACACCTTTTATAAACCACAAAAGTTAGCAAAACATTTGGGAGGCAGCCAGCATCTGCTGGGGGGGGGGATGTGTATATTACACTTTATATAAATGTCATACAGGGAAGAAATGAACACACACACTCATGTAAACAAAAAGTTTTAGCAGATTACCAGTTAGAGATGGAAATTTTTTGATTTAAAAAATGGTTGCGTAACCAGCAAGTAATAAAAACCATACAGATCTTTCTCCAGAAATGTCCCCTGTTGTCTGTCCTCTCCCATCTTCGACTTCTCCAGTAAGTAACTCATGCAAAACAGCAGTTTGCAAAGCAACAGCGCCCTGGGCATTTGCTGAAAAACATGACTCACCCCAAGTTGCCTGTTGTTTTTCAGGCTGTCGTAAACCGAAGCCAGAAAGAAATCTGAACGGATACGTGCAAAGTACACTTTAAAGCATGCAAAACTAAAATTCATAGATCTACCGGACCATCAAAACCATTCAGTGGAGATCCTATTCACTATAGTTGTCTTCTACTAACCGATTTACTATCCACAAGGTAGAAAACACCTGTTTGTCAGTCCCCCAGGAACTACTTACTGGCTTCCTGACACTTCAATGACCACCTTGATCAGGTAGTTGGTGCTGGAGCTGATTCCTCTCTCTCAACACTCAGAATAATCAGTTTGAACTCGCATTTAGCTTGAAAACTTTTTGGTGCTTTTTCAGACCTGAAGGAGCATGTCTGAAAGATTGGCTAGTTTTTCTGACAAAACTAGCTGGTCTGATAAACGATCTTTAATTAGAACACGTTGTTCTGTCTGTATCTTTTGAGCTGCATCACCGTAATTAAAGCAGTATTTTCAAAGCTGCGTGGTCAAACCCAGGCCAGAAAAGCATGCAGCATCTTTGCCATACACGATGGCTTCAGTGAATTTGCAGTCATTATTCTAACCATATGAAACATATTTCCTCTTATGATAATACTTCATGCATGTGTTACTGAAGTCACTGTACACCTGACAGATCAAGAGACAGCCTGCCAGTAGCTGTATCGTCAGTGACTAGACCCCATATTAAGGCAGTGCAAAACCTAAGTGGATCGTTGTGCATAACTGTTGATCACAAAGAATTTAAATTAGGCCACAAAACAATAAACGATCCATATAGCCAAAAGGCCTAAATCTAATTTCTTATAACCCTCCAAGCAGAGTGGATTTCTATACTGAGTCATAGCAATGAAAATGGGTTCATCCTGCTTGAAAATGAATAATTACATGTTTACTCTCACTATGAGGTGTAGCACATCTTTCGATTGTTCCATAGAAGGTTTTTAAAACTTACTTATTTCCAATGCTAAATTAAAACTATGTCATTATTCTAAAATTTTATTTTGTTCCGAAGAACTCTTGAGAAAATTAGCTTAATTCTAGATAATTCTCAGAGAAGTAATAGTGATATACTGGTAAGTTACATGTGCTGGCACATTGGACTTCCTTTCCAGGTATTATTATACTGAAATGGGACAAGACACCAGGTCAATAAGAAACGGGTGCCATGGGACCACTTCTGCTTTGCCTGAATGTCTCATTGTTACAAGTTTTTTATTTTCTGGAGCATTTAATTCTCCACAATATTTCTTTCACAGATCCCTTTCCACTGGCACTTAAAAATATATTGTTTTGAATTGTACTGCCTGACAAAAAACACAGGCCATCATAAATATTGATAAATTCCAATCACAACAAACCTTATTCTGCAAAGATTCCTATAAGCCTTGCAGTCTTCAATGCACTGCCTAGCAAAGATGGACAGGAAAATGTTAAATGTCCAATACCTCCAAGTTTATAATCATGGTAGAAAACAAGTATAATTTTTCAATGTGCACTTTTAATCAATCAATTTTAATCGATCAGTTTTAATCCCCTTAACCCAATGCTGGTGTATTTTCCTCTGACTTCTTTTCAGTTTCTATTGTTCAGCTTTGTAGATGACTACTGATTGTTCAGTAACAGTCCAGTAAATGGCTCACCAGTGACTGCAATTGCAGGAAGAAAAGGTGTCTGTGGGTGGGTGTAAATATCCTTAGTACTCTCACAGTACTATTACGTGCAGAAATCCTCGTCTGCCCCAGCAGTCTTAAGCATTTTTGGAGCCATGGGTAAATAATCCCAAGAAAGACACCTGCTTCTTTACTGTGTTCTTGTTCTGCCTCTCCTCAAGTCCTGTAGCACAGTGCTCAGCCTTCGAAGCCAAACCAGAGCTGTAAACTGGAATTAAGCCTTTGGTTTTCAAGAGGAGGAGGAAAAGGAAAAAGACAAGAAAAAGCTGAGGAAACGATTCTTGGTAACATTGGTATTGTG